TTTGATTAATAGACGTCACACACAGCTGGGTAGTAATTACCTTATTGAACCGTTCAGCATTTAAACACCTCACGTACTGTCTCAAGCAATTTTACTTTCATTTCCTGCTTCAGTGAGTAAACAGATAACTGAAATACACAAGAGGCCGTAATGAAAGGCCTCTTGTGTACAGCAACAGGAAACGACATTTTCACCTCAAAAACTTTAACGAGTAAACAAACATCAAAAACACAATCTTTCAGTTAGTCAGCTGGTAAAATCTTCACACAAAAAATAAAGAGAAGCCAAAGAAAGAATCATTCCACTGATTTGTTTGGCTCTTAGAAATCTATTTATGTAAGTGATGAAGAACAAGAAGCACCTGAGCTGCCTGACTCCTGACTGTAACACCTGTCAGATATTAAACAGTTGTACTGATGAAATAACTGTGACGACCTGTGCAGACCAACTTCACCCTCTGAAAAAATACAGCACTCTTATTCGTTTGAATGAGGTCATGCTGGCGGTTCAGCGTGCTCAGAATAAAGGTCAATCTCGATAGCTTTTCATGATTAAAATGCCTTTGTTAAAGAAAATCTTAAAAGCACTCAAACCTCTGCCAAGGCTGCAGTCGCCTCCTGTGAGTGTGTTACTGTCACAGCAAAAACAGTTTTAATAAATCAGCGTCTATATAAAGAGCTGAATCACATTCATAGAGATCATAGTGATGGAGCAGGAGTCGACAGCCTTTACTATGAAAGAGACGTTCTTTAACCAAAACTTTGAAACATCTGGAGCCATAAAACACATTTAAGCTTTATAATGAAGGTAACTCAGCCTGTTTAGTTTAAATGAGTCTATCAACATTACTAATAGGTCTAAATGAGAATTCATTAGTATGTTTTATGACAAGGTGGCTACTCTGCATTTGGCTAATTATGATTAGCAGCGTTGGCTATGAATGTAAACAAGTCTTTCCACACACTATTAAAGTCTCTGTTTTCCTCTGAGACTTTTCCTTATTTGGATTTAGAACCTGTAACCAGGCACCAGGCTGGAGATGGAGGAGTTATTGGGTGCATTGGCTTCACTTTTTTCCACTAGAGAATCTAAGAATTTTTAAGGCCCTCAACAATAATAAATTAGAATTAAAATGTAAAAAAAAAAAAAAATGTTATTCATTTCCATATCATTTTCGTTAAAGCCACAGGGAGCCACAGTAGAGGGGCTAAAGAGCCACATGTGACTCAGAGCTGCAGGTTGCTCTGTGATAGACAATCAAAAAAGCCTCATCCTGCAGAAACACATCACTCTGCCCAGTCGACATAAGAAAATGTTTGCATTGTACGTTTCTGCAAACCACTGACACATTACATTTGTATGTTTCATATGAGTCATATCAGTGTTTCTAAAGTGACGTACTATAGGAGCTGACTTTCTCATCGGAGGATGGTGGATGGTGTGACAAGCTGCAGACCACTGTTCAACACCAACAAACAACATACTGGTCGTTTTTTCGTTATTTAATTAAAGTCTATTTGACTTCTGGGGGCGGAAACTGTGGAGCATGCTCAGAGCGCCTCGGCCAGTTTGGGTCTGATTGACTGTATACGTGCAGGAGTCATATGATCTGGGTGTGTTAGTCCCACTGTGACAAATTCATTTTAGGACCATTTCAGTCACACTAACATGTTTACGTGTGTTTTAAAAGTCCGGTTTTAGTCAGACTGACACAATAAACTGATTTTCTCTGATGTCATGTAAACTAGGCTGACCAAACGTCCTCTTTTGCCCGGACATGTCCACTTTTCACGTCCTGTCCGGGGTGTATTTATAAATTGATGATAATGTCCAGTTTTCCTTTTGTGTGTGTGTGTGTGTGTGTGTGTGTGTGTTAGAGTGCGGCACGGGCTGCATATTTCTGTCCAAACCCAACAGTCATTTTGTTTTGTTATGTCCGAAACCGAACCAAGCCCGACATTATTTAATTACTAAAGCACTGAGTTTGTGTCACACAGTTGTTATGGTTACAGGCTATTTAACAGGCCGGGCGTGCGACGTGGGTGCTCTGCGGAGAGGGAGACCTCCGTGTTTGAGACGGGAGCGGGCAGCGGGAGGTCCGAGGCTTCCAGCGAGGGGAGAGGTAGAAACAAACAGCCAATGTGTGTGTGTTCTGTTCAGGTGTTGTCACGTAAATAACAGTGCCCAAGCAATAAACAGGACAGACAATAGGATCACTGAAAGCTGACCGAATCCGACCTGAGCCCGAATACAATTTATACATTTTTGCCCGAACCCGGAACAACCCGTCAGGACCCGTCGGGACTCGTCGGGCTCGGATCGGGTAGCCACACTCTAGTGTGTGTATGTGTCCCCTATCTATTGGGGCCTATCTGAATTCTTGAAGTCTTGTATTATTTTGTAATATAACTGAATTTTCTATCCATACATATAAACTTTAAATATATTAAAATTATAAGGCATCTTTGAGTAAACTGCGAGTATCAGTTAAGTAGGCTATGTCGTGTCCCCTTTTTTGGAAATCAAAATATGGTCACCCTATGTAAATGTACTGAGTGAAACAGGGTTGAAACTGATTTCTGTTTCCTGATTTATTTGTTTCTTTAACGTGAAGCTGCTTCCTACTGGCCACGTACGTTATAATTCCCATCTGAATGTTCCTGAATGACACTCATGCACGTTTGTTTACGTGCAGCACAGATGAGCATAATAACACTTTGAGCTTTTAAGTGTTGCTCACAAATTGCTTTTGTGAAGCGGGTCCTTGAACCAGAGCTTCAGCTTACAATAATAATACATTTTATTGGTGTAGTGCTTTCAAAGGTACTCAGAGGCACTTTACATGGTAAAAAAAGACAAAACATTAAAAGCAATAACAGAATAAAAACAACTACAACAATGGAAAGTGAAGGGGAGCTAATGGACTCACAGATTAAAAGGTGGGTTTTGAGTGCCGTTTTGAAAGACCAGTGTGACAGAGAATGTCTGAGGTGTTCATATAGAGTTCTAGAGGGAGCAGGCCCCGCCCCCTCCAGGTCTGGTGCTTGGACCGGGTGGACAGACTGTGGAGAGCTTTTAAGGTGATGAGGAGAATTTTGAACTGGATTCTTTGTTGAATATGGAGCCAGTGGAGGTTTTGAAGGACTGAGGTGATGTGATCTGGTGTGGAAGTGAGTGAGCAGCAGCCAGCTGTTAGGAAACATGGGCGGTGGGACAACATGTTCCTGTCAGGGCCCCTCAAATCACTATATCTCTGTGCAAAATTTTATACTTACTGCAATTATAATCCAATTAATCATATTGAGTAGTAATTTTTATTGTTTTGCTAAAAAGATGTCCTCTAATGAACGATTAGAGAAAAGTAAAATCAAACATTGAATGAAGAAATTACTGCAAGGTGTTAAATCCTGACTGAAAAACTGCTACTATGATCAAATACTGGTCAAATTGTGTGCAGATCTGAAATAATGTAAAGACTGTATGGCTTTGCAGTGTTATTTGGCCCCCTTTCAAACAAGATAGTTGGTACCAATGGATGCTCTAGTTTAATCTGATGTCTTGTCTTCACTGTAGCTTTATAACTGAGCCGATACAGCAGGTTTTAGTTGCTAAAAATTACTCTGCCTCACTTCTCGCCTTCAGCTCTGCCTGTCGTACCTGCTGCTTCTTCACATTAATTTGTGAGACATTTGTCCATCACCTCTTTTCTCCTTTCATTTTCTCGTTCTCTCTGTATCCTGGATTCTCCTCAAGCAGCATCTGAACCTCTCTTTTAAATGAACCGCATCATTACACAATACCTGCAGGCGGCTGGGAGTATCAGAGGGAACACTGAAATGTGCTTTAATGATAAAAATACATTTATCATGTAAATACTCATAACTTGATTTAAGTCAGTGAGTATATTGTTGTACTTGATCCTATTTAAGGGTCAACCATAGACCTTTTCATGGGCCCCCCCTTGGCCTTGGGACAGAGTCATCTCTACCCTTTGACCCTCCTGATGGCGGTCCTGGTGAGCAGATTGCAGACTGCATGTCAGCTCTGGAGTCAGATTTCTATCTGATCATGGATGTTTAATGTGAAGAGTCTGTCTGGGAGGTGCAGCTTTAGTGTCTGACAGTGCTGTGAAGGAGTAGTTTAGGGTTAAAAACACCTTTAAGTGTATTTAGATCGAGTTATCATAGCTGCTGTACTGTGTAGCCCATTTTACACTGCCTGTTCAATGTGGAAATGTTGCACCATTCTTCCACCTTGCCGCTCTGTATAAAAGGTGTGATCATGAAATGAAGGAACAGATTTTTTACCCTTGAAGCCAACAGCAGAGATAGTTGAAGTGCCTAATCAGTGTGAAAAACTTAGCTGTATGAGGAGAACTGGCTCCAGCTTTGGAGGCGAGGCCTCGTTCATTCCTGTCAAAGTTGCTAAGTGGTGCATGGAGCCACAACAGTTTGACCCCCCCCAGGTACATCAATACCTAGATCTTCCCCATAATTGGGCCCACTGAGCAAGTGCACTCAAATTTTCACGAGCCCAGCAGCCACTTCCAGTTTAGCCCTCCACTAACTTGAATGGGAATAAAAAGATTTAATCGTGCTGCTCTTCTAGAGTTCCAAAAATGTTATCGAATAGAATGGATGAAATCCCAATAGTGAAACAAATCATTCATCCTCTGATTTACTGATGCCTCTGAGTCTGTGGGAGAGAAAATCTTTTGGGGCCTAATGACATCATGTGACAGATCCGGAAGTTGTAACTACATTATTTAGCCACTATAAAAATTACATGTCACGCTTCTTTTGCTTCTGGAACGTCAGCATGCTGTCTACAATCACACACTGGGGCTGCATGATGGCTGCATTGTTTGGTTCTGTGTAAAAAAAGTCAAGCTGACGTAATGAGGGGTCTGTGTTTCAGGAATATTTTTGGATCTCTGTGTAAAAAGGGCTCATGAGTCCCATGATCTCTGATTGGACGAGAAGGAGAACGTGAACACTCACCTACTACGACAGGTAGCACCTTCATAGCTTTCCTCTCCCTGCTGTTGATCTTGGCTCTCTTCTTCCTGTGCTGCTGCTGACTGAACGTTACCGTGGGCACAGAGTTCTCTCTGTACTGCCGAGGATAAGGAATCTCCTGCTGTATGTAGTCGCCCGTATCGTCTAGCCGAGACTGGGCCAAGTCCCTCTCGATGATCCTGGGCAGAGGCATGGGCAGAGGCCCGGGGATGGTGCCCGTCAGCGGGGGGAGGGCGGTGGCGACAGCGGCGTGCTGCAGCTTCCTGCAGGCCTCGATGCTGCTGCGCAGTTTGACCTTACGGGCCTCCTCCCAGTGCCGCAGGCCACGGAAAACCCCGAAGTAGAGCAGGACCATGATAGGGCAGGGGATGAAGAAGGAGCAGACTGAAGAGTAAACCACGTAGTTGTTGTCCTCCAGTTTGCACTCGCTGGGGTCGCGGTCAGGCACGTTGTTGATGCCAAAGATGACCGGCGAGGCCACGGCCAGGGCCAGCAGCCAGGTGGCCGACAGCAGGATGAGCTGACGGTGGTCCACATGTTTACGGTTGTAGTTCAGAGGGATGGACACGGCAATGAACCTGCAGGACACAGGAAGAAGGGTTAGAACTAGGGCTGTAGTCTCCTGGTCGACTAGTCGATTATTTGGTCGCTATGCTCTCGTCTGACCAAATTCTCATTGGTTGAATAATTGCCGTGTTACTTTCATAAGGAGAAAAGTGCTACATCAACAGCTTTCCAGGATTAATCCATTATTTCCTGCGGTGGGGGGACAGGCTAAGTTACCTGTGAAAATAGGGGTGTGTTCAAAACACCCCCGTTGTTGACAGAAAGTTGAACTCGCCCACCCTCACGCTCAGCGTTGCGGTGACACAGACCTCCTGTCTGTCTCTGTAAGCTGACACCATTTCCCTCAGTGGAAAGAAGCTTGTATTTACTTGTATTTCACAGATAAGAAACAATAAATTGTGAAGACAGTAAAGCCTCCACTAAAATAGCAAGAGTCAGACACGAGTCTCACCACACTGCCTTTTTTTTTGTTAAACTGACTGCCACGAGTAAAAGACGTTTGCTGCACCTTATTATTGTTGCCAGGCAACCACCCCATCACCTCCTCGCCCTAACCTTCCCATGTAATCAATCTAGCATTTATTTATTGTATGTATCCTGCAGTGATCAGTGTGTAGCTGCTGCCATGTTGAGGCAGAGGGTGCTGTCTGTAGCTCTGGTTGAGGGTGAGAGGCTGTCAGCAGATAAACAGAGATCTGTGTGGGTACATGAGACCCTAAAAAAGAGGCTGGATCATGGGGAGTACCACCAGTTGGTCCAGGAGCTTCTCCTCCATCATGGACGTTTCCAGGCATATTTTAGGATGACTCAGGGGCAGTTTGACAACCTGCTGTGTATCATCAGGCCGTATAGCTCTGGGTATCCAGCAACCGCTACCACCAGTTTCTCCTCCATTGTTTACCAACTGTAAACTTGTTGTGACCACCACAGAAGGCCCGCCTCTCAAATCATCCCATTGGGAAAAAAAAGTGGAGGTGACGTGGGGCGCTTTTACGCTCTGAGTTGACTTTTTTTTTTTTTCAACTGGAGGGGTTCAGAGTTCACTCCAGCAAAAACGCCAGATGCATCACAACACAAAAACAGTGAGCAAAAAGCTTCATTCTCATTAAAAACAATCATCAAAAGGCTCCAGCTGCTAAAACACTTTCTGTGTGATCGGGGCCTAAGTCTTTCCTTCTCAGTTTTTCAATTACTTGGAAAAAAAAAAAGATTTTGAATTTGCAAAAATCTTCACCTACTCGTCTTGTTTGAGCTGCAGTAAACTGACTCACTTGTCCACATCTGCCCTACATGTCTTACTCAGCTTTTGTCATCACAAAGTTGCACTGCAGTTTAGTAACGATGTCTTTGTTTCACCAAAAACAAATTCAGGAAAAATAGCAGCAGCGCTGCAGCTGTTTAAAAATAATGTGAAAGAATCACCTCCATCTTCTCACTGCTCACACATTTTGGTTCATTTTAATTTCAGCTCATCAACAGCTCACACCTGCGTCAAAGCTCTGGTGAGCTGAAATCCAGTGCAGGAGAATCACACCTCAAGTTTCTGAACGATTCTCTGCATCAGAGCGAAGCAGGATTTTAGAGTCTGCAGGAGAATATTTAAACATCTGAATCATTTATGGATCAAATTCAAGTCTTGTTTTTAAATTTTGAGATAAATATGAATCCTCACGCTCCCTCCTCTGGTTCTCTCATCCCCTCCTCCATCGGCTCACACAGTGAAAACCAAACAGAAGCTGCTTGTCACGTTACAGCAGAGGAATGACTGATGTCCCCGTCTAAACCTCGACCAGACACACACACACACACACACACACACACACACACATGTAGACGTACCTGTCCACGCTGATGGCGCACAGGTTGAATATAGAGGCGGTGCACAGCATCACATCCATGGTCATCAGGCTGTCACACATCAGCATGTTCAAGGACCAAACTCCACCCTGAAACTACACACACACACACACACACACACAGCGAGAGAGAAAGAAACACACAAACAGCGACTGATTAGCTGCCCCAAATCTGAGAGTAAATATGTTTAATCCCGTTGCACCACTGCAGCTCAGTGTTGAGACAAACATTCCTCCAGGGAAACACTTCCTCCCCTCCTGACTTCTCTTCAGGTGAACATGGGAAGGTTTTAACTTTCAGACTGACTCCTCTAATCCAGAGAGTGCATGTGGACGAGCCACCAGCGTGACACTCGCTAGATTAAGTGGCTGCAGCCACTAGCACGGGTAACAAGATCACAAATGCAGCTAATTAAAGAGGACTTAGAGGGGAAGCGTCAGCAGGGCATCTCTGAGCCACACACGTATTCACACAGACACACACACTAAAAACACAACGTCTGCAGGTGTTAGCTGTGATACAGACGACTGTCATGGGTGGATTATAAAACTAATGGCCCCTGGGCACAGACATGTAAAAGCCCCCCCGCCCCTCCTAGATAAGAGCCAGACACAAAGTGGCTGCAGCAGTTTACTTTTTCTGTCTTGTGTGTGGTCACTTTAGCTGCTGACTGCGTTGTTCTTCACATCTTTGTGGTTGTTTCATGTCTCTTTGTAGTCCTTTAGCATGTTTCTGTTGTCATGTTGCATGTTCTTGTAGCCATTACATGTGTCTTTGTGGCCGTTTTACTTGTTTTCATGATCATTCTGCACGTCTATGTGGCCGTTTTTGCACGTTTTGCAGTCAGTTTGCTCATCTGTGGTCATTCTGCATGTCTTTGTAGCTGTTTTGCATGTGTTTGTGGTCATTTTGTGCGCTTTTTTAATCAGTTTGTGGTTGTTCTGAGTGGTGTTGTTATCATTTTGTGTGCTTTTTTAATCATTTTGCATGTCCATGTAGTCATTTTATGCATCTTTGTAGCCATTAAGCATTTTTTGTAGTTGTTTTACACATTTTTGTAGTCATTTAAGATGTCTTGTCTATCATTTTGCATGTTTTGTGGTCATTCTGGATGTCTTTGCAGATGTTTTTTGCATGTTTTGCAGTCATTTCACGCATATATGGTAATTTGGTGCACTTTTTTAAATCATTTTGCATGTCTATGTCGTCATTTTATGCATCTTCATAGTTGTTAAGCAATGTTTTGGTCGTTGTTTCACACATCTTTTCAGTCATTTTGCATGTCTGTGGTCATTGTGCATGTTTTGTGATAATTCTGCATGTCTTTGTGGCCATTTTTTGCATGATTTGGAGTTATTTTGCGCATCTGTGGTAATTTTGCATGTCTTTGTGGTCCTTTTGTGTGTTTTTGTTATTATTTTGTGTGCTTTTTAAAATCATTTTACATGTCTGTGATTCTATTGCCTGTTTTTGTGGTCAGTTTGCATGTCCATGTAGTCGTTTTATGCGTCTTTGTAGTAGTTAAGCATATTTTTGTAGTTGGTTTACGCATCTTTAACGTCATTTTGCATGTCTTTGTTGTCATTTTGAATATCTGAGGTCCCTTCACATGTTTTTGTAGTAGTTTTGTGTGTGTTTGTGGTTGTTTTGTGCAACGTCGTAGTCATGTAGCACAACTTAAAGGTTGTTTTTGCATCTTAGTGGATGTTGTGTGTCTCTGTAGGCCTGTTCGTTTTGTGCGTCTTTCAGTGACACTCTGCAGGTGAGGCCGGACTCTCAGGTGCTGCTGTTGGTTGACAACAAACCTAAGTTAAACTGAAGTGTTTAGTTCCCACTGATGGAGGTGAGGAGAGACTCTCTGACTGTCTGAAGCTTCCTGCTACAGAACATCCACAGTGACACTGCACAGATTTTAAATACTACAGCACACATCCTGTTAATATGGCCCCTGTGGCCCCCTGTGGCCCGAGGTTCAGTAACCCACCCGGCTCCTGTAGGTGCTTACCTCTGCGTAAACGAAGAGCGGCAGCACCAGCACCGCCAGCAGCAGGTCTGCGAACGCCAAACTGACTATGAAGTAGTTGGTGGTGGTTTTTAAAGCCTTCTCCAGGTACACGCTGAGGCACACGAGCACGTTTCCACCAGTGATGATCACAATCAGTAAAATCCCGAATATGAGCGCGGGGAAGTTGAAGTCCGTAACCGCGGCCGCCGGCAGCGTGTCGTTGTTAAAATCAGTGGAGATGTCCGACATGGTCGCCGGTGGTGTTCCGCCGTGCGCCGCAGACTGACGGGCTCCTTGTCCGACAGAGACCGACTCTCTCCGGGGTGGTTTTCATCTATGAGCCGTATCCAGCAGCTCCGAGATGAGCAGGAGCGTCACAGGTGAAGTCTGTGAGAGTTTTCCCGAGAGGTCGCTCATCTGACGCGTTCAGTGTGCGCAGAGCCCGCGGTGCGCTCCGCTCTCCAGACGCACAGTCACCAGATCCTGCTTTAGAAACCCTCCTTCCCCGGCCCCTCGGTTTACTTTTCTTTAACATTTACTGAGCTGACACCGCCGGGCTCCTGTAGCATTATGTGGATCAGTTTCCTGGCGTCCTCTCAGCCCGCTGCTGAAGCAACAAGTTTGCAGAGTGGACGAATCAGAAGGCAACAGCTTAAATCCATCTGCGTAAATCTGCTTACTGGAGCTCTGCTGCTCGCTTGGTGTGAACAGTCCCAGCAGGAGTGAATCAGCTGGTTGACCAGGACAACAAAGATCAGTTCAGTGTTGTGCTGTTGTTTAATGACAGGGCCGTAATCACCTGTTTACCATCAGGGGACCATTTACACCTCTCTGTGGCACCACCCAACAGGAGGGGGCTGAAGCCGGGAGGAGGAAGGAGACATATTTAAAAACTTAACAGCAAGGATTAATCTGTGGTAATACATCATCACATATTCGTTAAAAATATTTGATATTTATAATCTGAATCTGCAAAGTAACTGAAGTTATCAAATAAATGTAGTGGAGTAAAAAGTATTTGCATCTCGAGTGGAGCAGAAGTAAAAAGTGTAACATAAAGGTGAAGTATCTCAAAAGTGTAGGCTACTGAAGCACTTGAGTAAATTCACTTGTTTTTACTTCCTCCCGCTGGTATTTAGTCACTTTAATTTAGTTAAATTTCACTTCTGTGGCTCAGAGGTAGAGCGGGTTGTCCACTCATCAGAGGATGAGTGGTTCGATCCCCGGCTCCTCCAGTCTGCATGTCGTCCTTGAGCAAGACACTGAGCCCCATTTTGCTCCTGATGGCTGCTCCATCAGTGTGTGAGTGTGTTAAAAGCTGAGTAGCAGGTGGCACCATTAATGGTAGCCTCGGCCACCCCTGTGTGAATGTGACGCGTAGTAAGCGCTTTGAGTGTTCGGACGATGCTGTACAAGTGCAGGTCCATTTACCATTTACTACTTCTACAACTGTTCTACTACTAGGCCTACTATTTCTATGAGCAGTGGTATTCAGTTATTTAAAAGAAATCCACTGCTACAACATGCTAGTATGTTTCTGGTATTTTACTGCTACAACTGCTAACATTGTACCATTGTGCTGCTGCCACTGTTACAACTACTACTAATAATAATAGATTATATTTATAGGCATCTATCAGGACACTTAAAGTCACCTTACAGACAGAGATAGAGAAAATAACAGCAGATTAAAAAAAGTCAGCGACATAAGGAATAAAGCAATATGAAATAAATAATAATAAAATAATAATAACATAACAACAAATAAATATTCAGCAAAGCAAGTTTACAGTGAATAAAATTCTATTTAAATAGTGGATGTGTGTGGCTGGACGGACGGGAGTCAAACTGAACAGGCTAGTTTAAAGAGTTTGGAGGCTTTATTTGAAAGTGAAGAGTTGATGCTATGATGTCCAGTGGAGGGAGCTCCAGAGGCGGGTGGCGGAGTGGCTGAAGGCTGTAGACCCCATGGTGGTCAGGCGGGACAGTGAGGTGGATGGAAGAGGAAGACCTGAGAGTGTGGGTGGGGGTGTGGAAGAGTTGGGGTTATGGATGGCCTTAAAGGTGAGGAGTAGGATCTTAAAGGAATACTCCAATGATTTGGGAGTTATGCCCTTTCTTTATCATTTTCATATTTAGACAACATGAACGATATCTTTTTTGTGTCTGTACGTCCAGTGGCTGGGTCTCAGTGGTTAGCATTGCGGCTTAGCTTAGCGAATACAATTGAAGTTAGAGTTGCCACCCGTCCCGTTTTTCCCAGAATTGTTCTCTTTTTTCATCAGCTGTCCTGGGGAAAAAAAAAATCTCTCCTGGGATACTATTTGTCCCATTTTTTGGGGAAAATGCAGCAGCAGCAGGCCAAGGAGTCCATCCAGAATCAGTGCAACAGGCTCAAGAACATCTGTGTCAGAGAGACAACAAAGAGGTAAGAGGAGCTGTGGGAAGTCCTAACAGTTCATTTAGTATATTTACACATCCAATCATGTTTTAATTTGTATTTTTTCCATTTATATTTAACCCTATGGGCCCGAACGACGTATAGTGCGTCCAAATTCACACCTGTTCTTCTCTATGGTTTTTCTCTGCGACCGTGCATCATAGCGAGAAGCCACGCATATCACGTGAAACAGCAGAATCGTAGCTTTCCGAATGTTTTCACAGCGAAAAAAAATGATAAAGTTACACTAAAATTATGAATAACAGAGCTTTCATACAGCTCTGTACACACATTACTGTTGGATGGATTACTCATGAATGCAGGCTCGCACAGAAATGCCACGCATATCACATGAAAGCACAGGAGCAGAGCTTTCCAGTGATACCACACACATCATTGTGCTGTCATCCCATCACACTATAAATCCAGATCAATTGTCTACAAAATAAAAACCTGACGGATTTCTTTACCACGTCTTGGGCTTGTGTGTGTTTCTCCCTGTCTATCCACATTTGTAGTCCAGCTTTCAAGATGCAAATATCTCCATATTGTCCAGTTGACACTCGTCAAACTTTGTATGACAAGACCAGCCACTTCACCTTTGCGCACCCAGACAACTGCAGCCTAATTATGCATGCTGACAGGGCCATAGTCACCATATACATTGAGGGGGACATGTGCCCCCCCCACCAACAACAACAAACTTTGTTTACTGCAATCAAAGTGGCAAATATTATCTTGGAGGACATCACTGCACTTGGGTGACTATTTTTCTATGATCTTAGATGTAAATATTGCATGTTTCTTTCAGATAAAACATATTTTTGACTTGTGAATGAATCAATGGAATTTCTTGCAATAATGAAAAAATACTGTCAATCATGTCCGCCTGGCACAAACCACATGTTTTGGACAGCTGTGAAGTGACAGAATGTCCCAGCATCATGGTTCTTATATTGCCAGATTCCAGAGAGTCTCCCCTCTTCATATATGGCAGAATATGTCAACTTCCAACTTGCTATGGTGAGATACATGTAAAAATTTAAGAATTTAGTCACACAGATTTGTTTTTTTCATTGATATAAAAATTAATATAAAATACAGGCACATAGAAGGACATGAAATGATGGCAAATCTGGTCTCCTATGTCCGAATTTCATGTTCATTGGTCAGTCTGAACTGGTAATAATGGCCGAGCCCTCCGCCTCAAACATTTAGTCGAGTGTCCCTTTGTTTCACAAATCCAAGGTGGCAACCGTAATTGAAGTCTATAGGGGGTCAGTAGCCTACTCGGTAAGAGTGAACAAATAAACGTTACAGAAACCCTGAAGCTGGCGTTTCTACACGTTCTACATTTAAAATAAATATGTTTAAACATTAATTAAGCCGCAATGCTAACTGCTGAGACCCAGCCACTGGACGTACAGACACAAGAAAGATATCAATCATGTTGTCTAAATATGAAAATGATAGAGAAAGGGCATAACTCCCAAATCATCAGAGTATTCTTTTAAAGTCAACAAGGTGTTTAACAGGGAGCCAGAGAAGCTGCTAAAGGACAGGAGTGATGTGATTGGTGGAGGGGTGTCTGGTGATGATGTGAGCGGCAATCAATGCAGGATGTAACCAGGATGTGAACATGAATGGCGGCACTGTGCGGTGTGAGGGACGGGCCAAGTCAGTTCATATTGTGTCATTACTACTACGACTATTCTACTACTGTCACCTGCTAGTATTCTTGTACTGCTACTGCTGCAACTACTTCTGTGACTACTGATAGGCTACTACTTCCGCTGATACTGCCACTATACTAGTACAACAGCTATTACACTACCACTGCTACATTCATCACTGATGTTGGAAGTGACATTGAATAGCAGGCTACAGTTGCATGCTAACGTTTGCAGCTTACAACAGATGTTGGGGAGTTGAACAGTATTTCTTAAAGCATGTGAACATTTAGTTTCCTTGGGTGAACGTGCAGCTCGCTGTGTTGTGTCTTATATTTTGAGCAGTTTGTAAAGCACATGTAGCAGTGACACTGACTCCGGATCATCTCGGGTTAAAACACGTCCCATCACCGCTCTTTGTGTTTGTTTATTCCCTCTGCCTCACACAACCCGGACGTCAGGGAGCAAATATTTTTATACTTCTTACAAACTAATCTTAGCTCCTGAATTTGCCATCAACAGAGGGCAGAGAGGTTTTTTAATTCCAGGTGTAGTTTTCACCTCACCTCGTTCTAATCAGACATCACATGCTGCAAACAGCTGACAAGTTTTCCAGCGACTCTTCTGCTTTTGATCTCAGTGTAAAGGTGTTTGTGCCGCGGCTGCTCCTGTGGCATGAATATCATTAGAATAAAGTCAGCAGCAATTAGTTTTCTCACACGTCGTCACAAAGCCCTGCGAGGAAAAGGAGAATAGAACTCATGCTTTAAAAAACGCAGGTGTTTAACCAGCCTTGAATCCATCTGGGCAGAAATACATGAAGAGAAGGATCACTGTGAAGTATCTTCTCTCTGATGGAAGTAAAGAAGAACATGGATTAAAATCTTTGGTTCCTACACATCATGTAAACTTCTGATGTACAGAATTACATCTGAACACATAAAAGATACGAAGATGAAGCAACAAGCACAGTTAGCATCTGCAAATTAAAGTATTTCTGATTTCCTGGCAGGAAGTTGCCTGTTACCAAAATAATCTGTTTATATGTAAGCATGTGATCAGCTCTGAGTCAGAGGTGAGGTAAGACTTCAGGACGAGATGATATCAGTGGTATGATCTGACAGTGAGCAGCACTTTCA